ATAAATGAATATATATATATATATATATATATTCATTTATTTTATGGTCAGATGGTTGGACTGACACCTGAACCAATGGGTGCTGGAACAAAAACAACAAAACAACAAAAAAAACAACAACAACAACAAAAAAAGGAAGCTCTCTTGAGGCTGGCAACATCATCATCATCATTGGACAGTCTGTCTTTGCTTCAAGCATGTCTCAGTCAGACCTTGAAAGAAGCAGTTCACACCCCGCTCATGACACCCCTGCAGCGGTTTCCGAGCAACCATACCCGCTCTACCTGTGCTGCAAGCAAAGCGCGCGCGCACACCCCCTCACCTTACCGGATTGAGATAATAATGGTTAAAAGCCCTCTAGCAGGCCGGTGACTCACGCCACAACACAAGTCATCTATTTGGCAATGCCTGCTATAAAGATGATCCACTATGAATTATTGACACTTTTTAAAAAAATAAAAACAGATAAAATAATTATTTGCAAGCTTTAGTTTTAAGCGTGCAAACATACAACGCTAATATAAAGAATAATCTATTTTTTTAATTTTTATTATTATTTTATTATAATAGACAGACATGAGACAATAAAACTGCTTTTCTAGATTATTTCTCTGTTAAGGCAAAGTTTAATTTTGAAAGTTGCTCCTGTTCTTTTTGGCTCTGTCTGTTAATGGGTTTAATAAATATCAACATTCAAAATGAAAATAACTCATTTTTTTTAGGTGAACTTGCACCATAAGAGTGTGCGCTGGCACAAACATGACAAACACAAGACGCGGGTTATTCCCAGAAATATAATAAGACATTTTCTGAACTCACATATATCAGTTCTCGTCCTCTGGCTGTCTGCAACGCGTCCTTTCTTGGAAATAAAGTCCCTCGGTTTCTGTCAGACTTTAGTTTGAATCTGGTTTTTCTTCCATCTAATAAAATTATAATAATAAAACTCAGAACGCCTGCGTTTTTGGCGGCGCTCCGAATACGCTGTGACACTTCTAGATCCCTCCAGTGTTTGTAGTGAGAAATGTTTTATAGCTCCACGGACTCCGCCTTTGCACACTTGCTCTTAAAGGCACAGACTTCCCCTTCCCCTCCGTGCATGTGGCTGCAGCGAGCACACAAAAGGACTGAAAAATTCAGCCTTCAGCACAAAAGTCTGCAAAGCGTTATCCGCATCTGTGTTCAGCCTTGGCACTCTGAGCAGATGTGAAAGTGAAATCTGAGACGCATCCAACTCCTTTTGATCATTCAGGAAAGCAAAAGTGATAATTACAGAGAAAACCCTTATATTTGATCCCCCCCCCAGTCTCTGGCTCCAGCATGAGCTCTGCATCTGTCTGCAGAATGGGCTGCAGCCAGTCCTGCAGGAAGACAGAGGCTGAACTGGATGGCTCCGGAGGAGATAACACAGACAGCAGGCCAAGAGCAACACCCTTATCTGCACAGTAACTTTTAAATCAAGCCAAGCTGCTGTTTTATCAGATCACCTTGAATATTTTAGATCTGTTTTCTACATAACCTGCATGATGATCACTTACAGGTACTCATCGGCAACTATGAAATCAAACATGCAAACGGGTTATCCCGAACTATATCAAACTCCAGTAGTGTCCCGTGCATATTTATACAAAATTCTGAAATGCAGGTACGCACTCAATGTAAATAAAGCGGAATTGGTTGAAAACCAAGTGGAAGACTGGGTCACGTGTCTGACCTACATTCGACCGATTGTGGTCTGTAAGTAAATAAATATGGTGGAAATGGGCGAGCGTAGGGTTGTGAAGATGTTTAAGTAAAAATATAGGATTGGATCTGCTACTAATACAAAAAACAAAACAGGATGATTGAGTTAGACAACTGTAAAGAATATATAAGTATTGGGGATCAATCAGGTTGGTGGAGTTCTGTGGAAACTGAGCTTGGCTTTTTAATGCACGTGTTTAAATTTTTTTTTTTTTTCAAAACTTCATCAAGACCAGTAAGTTTACAGTCTCAGCCTAACCCATGTTTTTATCAGCATACTCAACAAATCAGAATGTAAATATGTGCCAATGAATCAAAAGTTGACTTCTAGGTCACAAACGGATCTTCCATGGAAGGCGCCATTGTTTGATCATTTTTCAATTGTTTCCATTGGAAAACACACGCACACAGGAGTTGGCAGCCGTACACAACTTTTCACATATATATTTTTTTTGATTTAGGACACATTAACATCATTATGAAAAATCAAACTGTGTAGATTTTGTTTCTTACTTTATTATCTTTAATGTCGCCCTGACATTGCAATGACTACCTTTAGTCATTTAGAAATTACCTACAACAGTGCAGATCTCTTCAGATTAATGTAAATTTAAAAAAAAAACAAGACTCATTACTACAGTACTTTCATTTCCAGCCACTAGTCCTATTTAGACCACAAGTGGTGATGGATTAACTCTCTAACCTAACTGGGCTAAACAAGCCCAACACTGACATGCACACTAATCAAACACGGTGACACAATGGCTACAAACATGTTGCAAGTTGAATCAACAGTGACAGAAAGCAGAGGTGTGTGCTCGTCTGTGTGTCGAGAACAGGCTGTTCTTGTGCCTGAGTTTGGGAATCCGTTACGGCTTCCCCCCCAAACCCTAAAAGGCCTATCATTGCATGTTTGGCCCTTACACAGACCAGACACTTGCTAATCCCCTTTTATAATTTCAGGCACATTTTTCAAATTCCTCTGGACAAGTCCTGGCCAACCGACTTAAGAGAGGTTTTTGCAAGATGGGATCCACGGTTTATTTGGGTATGAATGCACGGTGGCTCAGCTGTTAGAGCTGTTGCCTCTTAGAGAGAAGGTCGCCGATTCAAATCCCTGCATGCTCGGGGCCTTTCTGGGTGGAGTTTGCATGTTCTCTCCGTGCATGCGTGGGTTTTCCCCGGGTACTCCGGTTTCCTCTCACAGACCAAAAACATGCATGTTAGACTGATTGGTAACTAAATTTTCCCTAGGTGTGAGTGAGAGAGTGAATGGCTGTTTGTCTCGTTTGTGTCTCTGTGTCCCTGCGATGGACTGGAAACATGTCCAGGGTGGACCCCGCCCCTCGCACAGTACTGGATATGGGCACCAGTGACCCTGGTGACCCAAAAAGGAAGAAGCTGGTAAAAGATAATGGATGGATAGTTTGACAGGTCATATGTTCCTATAAGGAGAAATCTATAAATCAAAACGGGATAACTAATAAATCTAAGTTCAGCTAAAGTTATATACAGAGTCTCAGATCCAACATGTTTACACGTGCAAACAAACATAAACAGGCTTCAAGTCCAATTCATCTCTCCACCCTTCAGTCTCCCTCCCCTTCCTGCGTAAACCGCATTGTGATGTCATCACTCACAGGAAGTGCCTTTTAAAGGTAGTCATTAGAGGAAAAAAACTAAGTCAGTGATTAAGATAGGCAGGCGGAGCCAGAGGCAGTCCTGAGAGCTTGGCAGATGAATGATCTTGTGTCAGAGAGAATATCTATATCAGGAGTAAACTTGTTTTTCATCCTATTTGTTTTGTACTTGATGTCTAACGCTGAGCTTTGTCCTCATTGTTTTTCCAGAAAAAGTGGCCAATTTAGCTGAGGTTTTCTTTCAAATGATAGAACTACAGAAAATAAAAGTCTCTCTTTGTGGTTCACATTCCAACACAATATTGTACATTTAAAAATGTGTCTCTCAGCTGACTACTATCATTCCCTCACCAGCAGAAAGGGTGGAGTTCGGCCACAGCCGAGGCTCAAAAACTGTACGATATGTCTGTAAATGATTTATTCCCTGTGGAGGTCAGAGCATTGATCACTTCTTCCTGCTGAGGTAATTAGATTATGTGCATAGTCAACCTGCATCCAAAGTTCAGTAAGCAGAAAAGGTTCGGTGGTGCAATGGCATGACACAAAACCTGCAGGCTTGGAAAAGAGTCCACTCTTCAAGCGATATGTTAACGACGAAAGGCTATTTTCAGGTTTACACTGTGTTTTATCCTCCAAAATCACATTTAGAGTAAACAATGTAACATGCATTTAATCAGCTTTCAAAAATTTGCAGTGTTGTCACTGAAGATAAATGGTAGTGGCACAATAACAGAGGAGTGCATGTGGTGTTGTCCATCCTAAAAAACACTTTTCTTTTAGTCCTAATGCTTGTATATTTTGCTTCAAAAAGCAGAGAAAAACTTGATCATTTGCAAATTTTTTGGGGGATGAGTTTAGAGTTTAAGAAATAAGCTTATCTGCTGCCTTTGCTGAAAACCTGATTAAAAACAACCTTCAACAGCAAAAAAAATAAAAAAATAAAAAGTCGCTAAATTAAACGTCTCGTTCAGCATAAAGATTAAAACCCTGATTTCTAGTAATTTATTATAAGGGTTTGTTTCTTTTCACACTTTTCAAAATAATAAGTGAACAAACTGTGCAAACTTTTAAAATGCTGATTATCAGCTTTGATGTGTTTTCATTTTCTTAAAGACATTGTGCTTCTTAATTCATCCCAAACTGTAAGAATTACAACAAGCTGCATTAGAGGCTGATGCTCCGACTTAAAGTCACCACATTTATAATGCACCATTTAAACAACTGTTTGTGTCATACATGTCTTTAGGTTACATGTATAGTAGGGATGCACTATATTGGATTTTTGGCCAATATCCGATATGCTGATATGTTAAAACTTATTTGGCCGATAACCAATACCAATACCGATATTTTTTCCCTAGACCAACTTACAGAGACTACATAACTTTCTCTGCTGTGGAATGAAAATACTACAATTTTCTGCATGGTCTTTGTCAATTTGGCCTGCTACCAAATGCAGATGCCAAAAAGGGGGTCTGAAAATGATGCAACACTATATAAATATATCATATATATATAAAAACCGTGCCTTTTATATCGGTGAGTTATTTTGATGGAATGGCCGATAACTTTATCGCTAATATCGTCCGATACCGATACCATGCCGATAATATCGTGCATCCCTAATGTATAGCTCATTGTGTGTAGGCTAATATTTGTATCACTGATGTAATCTTGTGGTTGTATTTTTGTGGTTTGTGGACCAAGAGGACAAACAGCTATTTAAAATATGTAAATCTGTAAAAAGCTGCAAAGGAGAAACATTTTCTAGATTAAAATATTCTGAAAATCTTTACACACAAACCTAAACCCACTGTTTGTCTTTCTCTCACGACCACTGGAGCAAACTGGCATGAACTTTCCACACATTGCTGAAAATGTTCCCACTTAGAAACAAGACAAAGGTGTCTCTTGAACTAAACAAGACCCTCCTGAAGAACATGTTGCGTTATCGTTGAGGATGAAGCAACCAAACACAACAAGCTGATGGTGTACTGTATGTAGTCCCTTGCAGATAAAGGTGTAAAGGTCTTTAACATAAGGGAAACAATGCAACCTCTCCAGAAACACAAGATCTGTCTCATACTCTATCTCAAGGATTAAAGTTTGGGTTCTTTGTTGAAATCAGGTCTCTCTTGTAGATGAGTCCTCGAGGCTCAATGGGATTTAGCTAAATAAAGGTTGAATGAAAAAAAGACACTTTTTCTGAGGACAGACATGTTTACGTTCTGGACAGTGACGACAAATGGTTTAAAGAACGCAGCTTTGACTTTCCTAGGTTTCACAACCGCTCACAGTTTGAAATATGTGACCCCTCACGGGTTTTTCAGGTAGGTAAATATGTCGCGCGGTGTTTACAGGTGACAGTGACCCAAAGAATTTACGCAGCGAACAGGTGGGTCAGTGACGCATACTGTTATAAAATCTGCTCCAGTTTCCAAGCCTGAAAAGCCTCGTCTC